CCCCAAAACCCCAAAACCCCAAAACCCCAAAACCCCGGGGGTGATAATAAATGTTGAGATATTATGAAAGTGATTTAATACTTTGTAAGAATTAAGTGGTTTATATTATTAATAATTCTAATAATCGGTTTAAAAAATTCTGATAGTCTTATCCTGAGTCTTGATAAAGTAAAAATTGCATGCTTGTAGGCATCTAAAGCCAAGTTATAGACGATGAATTCGCTATATAAAGTTAAATTTAGTAATAGATTTCAAACTCTTATGGAACTAGAAGATACAAAAAAGTTAGGTATTTTATATATTGTTAATCAAAGCACAAAGGTCCGATTCTATGAGTCTCAATCTATTTAGATTGCCTTAAACTAAACGTATTTCAAACCTTTTCGGGATAAGATGCATGCACCCATAGAGCTATAACTCTTAAATCAGGTTCCAAAAACTTATATTTCACATCAAAATCCCCAAATCTTAATAAAACAACCAATCAGCCTATAAACCTTACCCTATAAACCCATAACGAGCTAACTAATCACTGCTATCATCTCCTTTACCTTAAAATGCTCAAACACTACCAAAAATCCTAGAACCCAACCCCAACCAGGTTTATGAGCCCAGATGGTTTATTCTTCCTCTCTTCTTCCCTACACTTTCCCCCAAAACTGTCTCTTTTTGGTATAAATTTATAACCCACGCTCCAAAAGAAACTCTAGAAACTATCTTAAAAATCCAGCCTGAATCAAACCTGTACATAAAATATTTTCTGAAATTGTTCAGTAAATTACTAGAGGTAGAATATATTCTACAGAAGAAAATTGGTAAAATTAGCAGAAAGTTTGGAAATTTAGAATAGAGAATTAAGGGTCTCAAATAGAGGTATGACCGCAGAGTTGAATTAGTGCTGAACTGGTGCTTAATTTATAATGTTTGAGTTAATTTTAATAATGTATGAAATGAACAAGTACCCGGATTAGTTAAATTAAGCATATTCAAAGAAGAAACAGGCTGTAAGAGATTTTGAGATGTATATTTTGAAAGTAAAGCTGGAATTAAGCAAGATTTATTATGTTGTCAGTTTTGATCGTGCTAATAGAAAGAAATATTCTGGTAACTGGCCGATATAAATATGGCGGTGATTGAGTATAAAAATGATAATAAAGACATATTCATTCATGGCTGAAACCTTAAAAGATAAAAAATCAAGACACCATTTAATGCATTTAGACCATCGAAAAATTCTGTGTAAGTTACTTTAGATGAGTATGCTAAAATTCTAACAGCATTGTTATTGAACAAAAAAATGAGTAATAATGCTGACTGAATATGAAGCTTGCTTTCTTCAAAATTGCTCATTAAGATATCAGATCAATTTTAAGATAAGCTGCTATTCAGACTCAGAATTAACCCAAGAGGACTTGACTAAACAGTATAGAAAATCTGAGACTACTTATAAGCATCATATCTAGAATATTGACTTGAAACAGGATATACATTCTTAAAGCTTTACATGCATAATTATCAAGCAGAGTCTTCCTATTCTTCCCAGACTACAGGGTTTAAGAACCTAGAACTTGTATTTGGGCCATCGATGATATTCATTTTAGGCTCATTTTTAAGATCTCTGAACTTGATCTTTTTGTTCTCTCTTTCCTTCCTTCTTGGAAGATCTACTTTGGGCTCTTTATTCTGATTTCTGAACGAACTTATTTGGAAATATTTATCGAAAGTTCTAAAATGTTATATTTAGGCTTACTCTTTGCTAATTCCTTCATCATTAATCTCCGGACCTTCACTTTTCTCTAAAAACATATAAAAAATGCCATACCATCAACTGGTGGGTTATACTGCCTCTGCATAAGCCTCCTTTTCCTTTTATTGATCAACTTTTTAATTTTCTCTACACAAAATACCCCAAATTACTTACTTTTCTTAATTCTCTTTGTCTTATAAAGTCTCTTTTTAATGATCCCACCTGACTTGCTCTCAGTGGGCTGACTCTCTTGCTTAACCCAGCTACAGATCCCAGCCATTCTCATTGCCTTCATAAGTCCCTGGTACCACTCGTTGTTCCACTCCAGTAGGGACATGACCAGGTACAGCCATCACAATAAGAAGTACAAGTTAGCTCAGAACACGAACAGCAGTAATACAGAATGGAGGACAAAATTTCCCTTGTAGCCTAGCACGAACACTACACTTGAAAATATTGTTACTATAGCTACTGCCAGGGAGATCAAGTCTAGTCTGTTGTAGGAGTCACACTTGAAAGGCTTCATGTTTCACTGGAACCGGTAGAAAACTAGCAGAGATATTACAGACCCGTTGATCTTGTAGGCAGGTGGAGAGGTGTTGAGGAACGAAATTAATCCCAGGATAGCAAACTTTTTGAATGAGTTTACGAATTCCCAATAGAAGGTTTCCGGTCTGAAACCTTGGTAGAGGATGAGAAAGTAGCTTTTAATTTTGGGGCTGTCAAGGCTTCGTCTATTTTTTATGAGAATCCATAAGACAATCAGAGGGCAACCAATTACCCAGATCACTAGGAGGGGCATTGAAATCACCAAGACCCATTTGATGTGATTCCATGAATAACAAGTATACTCCATATGGTGAGTCATTCTTGAGTCGTCTTCATCAATTCTGGTGCATAAGAACATCGACAATGACTTCGCGGTAAAAGCAGGATGAAACAAGAAGACAATGCATATCATTGATACAACAAGAGATCTTCTAAAATTAAACAAATTGGTCCTGACAATTTCATGGTTAAATATATGAATTCTGATTGAAACAATGATAAGATGAACTAGTTTAATGCAGCCAAATAGCCCAGCAATAGCCCCTACTAGAAGAACAGGAAGAAAAATGAACAAAGAATTCTTAAGCAAGCGATTTGAAGGAGCATACAATGTTATCTCTTCTCCACTGAAAAAGCAATCGAAGGAGAAAAACGTTTCATTTGGAGATGAAACCCTGTTCATAAACGAAAACATCGTTGTGAAATTAGTAGGGATTCTCACATTAAATGATAGTGATACCGTTATTAAATGAATATAATTAGTCAAGATACGGAGGAGAATAGACATTTGACTCTCCTTAGTCTTTCTCAAGTTAATATAAATCAAAAGTAATAAGAATAAAAACGCAAATGTTGAAACAAAGGCCATTCTTAATCCATTGATAACTGGATGAGGACATTTGCTTCACTGAAAGTCTGATAATGGTTGATATTTAGTACCACCGATAATATCTCATTGAGATCACAGAATACCCTTGTATCCAGTTTTACATTTAGTAGGGCTTTCACCTCCCCCTGTATAATGATCGCCTAATCAGGCTTCCCTATTGAGTCATTCAACAATAAGTGATGAATTTGTAGTTTTCCTCCAATAGCCTTCGTCAACATCTATATAAGTACCTCCCATTCAAGTGGCATCATCCATTCAAGGTAGGCATCTTGTGGAGTTCCATTCAAAAGTATAAGTCCTAAACTCACAAGGGTCGCATTGTTTCTGGCCTGTCTCTATTTCTCCAGGCTTGCAATACCTAAAAATAAGGACGAAGCATACCTGAATGAGACGTCAATCAAGTTAGTATACTGCTGATCAGAGTTACCAAGCACTTGGTCTACAACCTTTTGGTCTAGTTTTACTGATGTGAGCCTAAAAGTGTTGTTCTTCATCCCAGTTTTACCAACAAAGATGAGGTTGCTAAATATTCCTGTACCATTCTTTATTACAGCAAAGTTTGATCCTTTCACAGAGAGTTCTGAATTGTCTTCAAGTATTTTGATGTTTACTGAATCTATAAGATTCATAATCTGTCCATCGTAATCTACAAGGTCAAAACTCAGGTGTTTAGAATATAGTTGCCCGCTTGGGACATTATCGAGGTACACCTTATTGTTCTGAGTATTTGACTGAACAATCTTTACAGCATAACTTGCTACATCGGGGCCATATAGAGCACTGTTGTTGTAATATTGAATTCTCTCAGTTTCTGGCCTAAAAGAATCATAGTATATCCCTCCACCCTGTTCAGATGCAGCATTATGCTCTATTACAAGATCTTTGAATTTATTAGTGCAAGGTTTATCCAAGTCTCACTCAATACTAATGCTCGCTCCAATCTGTGCCTGATTGAAGCTAAAGTTTGAATGAGTGATCGTAGAATCACTACCGAATAACTTTATAGCTCCTCCTAAGAGAGTGTCAGACTCTCCACAGGATTCAAATAGAGAGTTCACAATATTTCTGAGGATGGACTTTGTGGCTAATAAGCATCTTTTATTCTCTCTGAAAGTAATATTGTCAAAATTGTTTATCTCTGAATTCACTAATTTTAGTACTTGGCTTCTATATTTCAAGTTCTTGGTAAAGATACATTAGAAATAAAGAGATCGGTGAATAAAGTCATTATAAAATTGCATCATAAAATATTACAATTAAAATGAATTTCCTCTTGAATATTTGAGGATCGAAGAGTCTCGTAATAAACCTGAGACTTTAAAAAAGAACGACACAACATTTGATTATTTTCTATTTCCGATATCAAAGCTTAAGTAGACATATAAGATGCTATAATTTCCAGATATACCTTAGATATAGAACAAATACTTCTGCTTAGCTAGAAAAATCAAAATCCCAAATAATAAAAAATTTAAACACCTATCAAAATAATTTAATTAATTCTAAATTTTCGAAACTTTAACGTAAATACAACTTTCTTCCTTAAAGGATACAGAATTTAGGTAATGAACAAGCTTGCATTTAGAGTCCTTATTTATCAGAAGAAAAGAGGGGTTGTGTCCAATCTAAACATCAGATTTACTAAGTAATAATCTGGTTGGGATTCATTGAAATTTATCCTAAATTATTTTATTTGAATATCTAATGATATGCAAGGTTTAGCATTATAAGCTGTTTCCACCTTGGATAATAGTAATATTTTCAGTTAAAATCTTACTCTCCCCCTTGGCTGACAATCTGTATGAACTCGGTATGGTTTATGTCAGAAATATTAGAATTTCTCACAGAGATCAACTCAGTATCTGCAACATTAATATCCTTAAAAGAGCAAGATATTATTGAAGTCGGGACTAGAATTCCTTCATCATTCTCTACTATCTCGAAGGAATTGAGTATATACATTAACGAACTGGTCAGAGTCAGGTTTGATCAGTGCATGTTCTATAGGTTACAATAAATACGATTCCATCAATCGAAAGCCCTCTTTTGTCGCATAGATATTTCCCAAGTACGAACAAAACATGTTGGAATTGACCTCAAAAATAAAGTTATCTGACTAGAGACAATAAAACCAACCTTCAAATGGCTAAATGTAACTTACCCTTAAATAGAGCTGTGACAGACCAGAGCTGATAAGCCGACAGTTGGAATTGGTATAGACCAGGTCGTCCAGCCGCAGGAAGGAATTCCCGAAATGGAAAATTTCATTTTCCGTGCAGGTTATATTAGTCAATGTGTTGTTGGTGATTGTCATATCTGACTCACTGCTTCTGAACAAGTGAGATTCAAAGTTGATATTGATGAAGGTTCAATCGGTTATGACTACTTCTGATCCTGTCGAAGACAATAGACCAGGCAGTTCGGTGAAATGGGAGTTTGAGATGAGTAATATTCCCAATATTGCTTTGAAATTGTCTTGAGATGGGTCTATACCAAGAAAATTAGTGGCAAATTTTGAAGATGAAAATATTATTCTCTACTATTTATGAAGCACAAAATTTAAATTTACTGATATCAAGGAGGTAGTCATTATCTGCAACGTAATCTCGATAGCTCTGAAGAATGTGGGCTATAATTTCATTAAAAAATTTACGCTGTAGAATTATGTTATTCTCTACTTCAGACCTTGATACTCCATAATTCCCAGTTATGTTAGAACTGTCAACAATGCTCTGAAGCTGGGATGAAAATAACTCAGCAATTGCACCATCCATTGCAATATTATTATATATAGAAGTGTTATAAAACTCAAATGCACCATCTCCATTAACTTTCACAACTCCAGCAGTGATTGCAAAATTATTGTAGAAGGTTCAATTGTAACATTTAATATTACTTTCTGCTTGGGTTTCAAATACTCCTCCTTCAATAGAAGTGTTATTAAAGAATGTACAGTTTCTTAATACTGCTACAGCTCTCTCATTTCCTGCTGAAAGAACAGACCCCTTCTCATAGTTTCCGATGAATGAAAACTCTGAATCCAAAATCTCAATGTCTGCACCTGCATAGATATTTATAAGAGACCTTGTGCGTCCATCAACGTTGAAACCTTTCATGTTTACAAACTTCACATGTGTTTTATTGTAAAACTCATTGGATTTGAAAGCCTGCACAGTTATTCCAGCATGTACAATATCAGTGACAGTCAGGTTGGTAACCAGGACTTGAGACTCCAGTTGTTGCTGCAAATACATTAGTCTCGACCCAAATGTAAATACCAAATTTGTGAAAGTAATTTCACTGATGTCTATTAAATAAGTTCCCACTGTTGCCATTTTGTATATCCTTATCAGATCAATTTTATAAGTTAATGAAGAGTCTTTGTAAGTCACATTAGATATGGATAATGACTGAGTGACATTCACAAAAGCATCAGGTTTAGTCACCGACATCACAGGCACTGAAGACTGTTCGACCACAATATCTTTGAATATCTGGACGTTATCTGGAGCAAGTCCTTCAGAATTGTAATCACAATTAATCAAAAAGTTGGTTCCTCCGTCATGAGAGTAAGTCCTAAGTGCATGAATATTAGTGAAGTTAATTTCTTTGAAGATCCCATATCCAATCAAAGCTACATCTCCATACAGAACAAGGTCTTGAGTCTTAATGTTTTCAGCCAGGAAAGTACTCTGAGAAGAAGCAGATGCATAAAATATAGCTCTTCTATCAAGAATTGTGGAATCTATCAACTCTAGGTTGATAAAGGCAACTTCAGAATCACCAGTGATTAAATGCTCAAAGAGAGGATCAGAATAGACTTTAGTGTCTGAAACGTTTTTAAAAACAACTCCATTGAAAACAACTTTATTCTCTGCAAGTATATACGATAGATTTGGTGTGTCCACCTCAACATTCTCTAAAAGAACATTATTGAAGGTAACATTTATCGAAGCCATGACGTTGATCAGCCACCCTGAAGAATTGAAAAAACTTAATCCATTCACAATGAAAACTGTGTTGGGTGAATTCAGACCAATCAATTGGCCAAATTTGTTGTTATAATCATTCTCTGCCACAAAATTATTTATATAAACTGTCAAAGTCCTTGTTGGGTCTGGAAGTCTACCAAAAGCAACATCATTAGTCTGGATGAATTGGCTGTCTTTTCCAGGATCATTCCTTGAGGTTGTAACACGGAAATTTGTGATATTCCATGGTTTTTGATTTAATTCGATGCAATCCACATGATTGTCATAGAAGATGAATTGAATAATTTCAATCTCAAATCCCAAATAAGTGTCAAAGCTTCAGTCTTCAAAATGAACAGTGTTAGCAAAATAGTTCCTAGTAAATGATTGCTGATTATGGAGAGAGATATCTTTCCCCCCAGAGTTGATAGATGTAACATTCTTAAAATAAATTCTGGTTCCCATATCTGTGCCATCTTCTCCTCATCCTAGTCTTGTCAAGCTTAGTCTGTGCAAGTATTGGGTCTCAAATATGATGTTTTCCATGTGCCAGTTAAATACTGTTGTAATCGCATTTAGGATAGTTCCTTGAGTCCTCAGGTCTCAATCTATCAACCCTACCACTCTAGCATCAACTCTGTATGGCTCAAATATCGCATGTGAAGTTCCTGGATCATCATATTGTGTGACCACTCTAAAGTTCTTGATAAGAACTCCAGCATGGAATGGCTTAAATACAGCATTATTAAGAAGTAGCTTAGCCTTGTCTTCACTATCAAACCCAGAGTTATCAAATACAATTTCATCCTGCTTCAATGTTTGATGAGCTATAATTTATTTGTAATCCTTACCTAATATGATAAATTTAGTTGTCATTGCTGGAGCAATAACCTTGGACTTATCAATAACTCCCACTATTCTTGCAAGTCTTGTAATATGAGAACCATCATTGTATGATTCTATTTGGACATGAGTCATGTTCACAAAATAAGTTGGACTTTGTATAAACACTGTGGTTTCTTCAAAAACATACACAATTACAGTTCTCTCTGAATGACTGTGAAAGTTCATGATCTCAACGAAAGCAGACTGAATATCCTTGTAAGGGTGCTGTTCAGTTCCAAACTCAACAGGGCTCTGACTATTTGCATCTATATAGTACTTGAAGTCCCTTCAAACTGGCATAGATTGTAGCTGAGTATCATTAATCATAATTTGGGACTCAGGATCGCACTGATCTACTCAAGTCAGATCACTCAAATTCAATATCTTATCAGAAGAGCATCCAAATCAATGGCTCTGGTATGATCAAAAAGTATGACAACTATCCTGACATTCAGCTCATTTCTTCAAAGTAGTTGAGAAGAACTGTCCATACTCACATTCTTGGTACTCTCACAACAACCCGCCTGTATCAACATAGCCTTCATTTCACTCAATTCAAGCTCCAAAGCTATCTCATTTCTTACATGAAGCATGGCACTGGAATCAGAACCCGTACTCTTCAAAAGTCCCTGCTGAACAACTTGTCAATCAACAAGAGCTTCTTATCATTACATAGAGCCCCAATAACAGGAGCCAATACTTTTGCATATCTCTTATCCAAAGAGTGCCTAAAAATAGTCAGAAAATATTCCAGATCCCCTACACTATTTCTAACATAAGAAATTTAGCTGCTTGCCAGAGCACCAAAATTTTGACTCAACTCGTTTTGGAGTTAATAGAATAAATTACTAAGTTTAGAACTCTGAGTTATTTAGTATTTAAAAATTATTTGAGGAGTTTTAAATGGAGGAAAATGAGTCCTTGAAGTAGAGATTAAAACTCACACGAGCTTTGAGGGCACTCATAGGGGTGTATAGATATTTTATAAACTAAGTTGATTGTTTCTTGCGGTTAAAGGAAAATATTCATTTTGTGGAGAATTTTTATTAATATTGTAGAATAATTTCTAAACATTCGAAAAAATTCAAATGTTGGTGATTTTTCTATTTTTGTGATCTATTCTAGAGCTAATCCCACATCGATTGAGCTGATTTTAGAGATAATTAATCCTCAGTCTAAGTCGCTAAATTTAATGCAAATCGTTTCTAAATATTCAAAAAAATTTGAACTTATTCTTCACCATAATATAATTCAAATTTTCCAATTTTTCTAACACGAATTAACCCTATCTCATAACACAATCTAAATTTACCCTAAACAGCAAAGTACCTAACATATTTCTAACCAAAGGATCAATAACACCACCTCTACCACTCCTCCAAACATCACTCCCCCACTACCCCTATCTTCATCACCAAAAATTCAAAATTTTCCAGAATCCAATTAAAAATTATCCTAGAACCTTCTACCCTTCAAAAGCCCTGAATTCTCTTCTAAAAATCCCTCTTTAAAAACTCTAATTACAGCACTCAAGTCTCTAAAATTCCTTCGCTAAAATTCCAAAACCCCTTACTTCCCTCTTAGACTTCTGTTGGCCGACCACTTCTAAGACCAAAAGCACGAATGCGAAGAGGGCTGAGGATAAGTGTTCTAGGGAAAACTTTGTGCGAGAGAATGGAACGATGAGAGCTATTAAGAAAGAACAGCTGGATTTAGGAGAGATTTCGAATAGGAATTGAGAAGTAGATATAGCATAAATTATACAGATATGAACGAACTAAGTTGAACTACAAGGCACCAGGTTCTAAGACAACTCTGGAATATAAATCTTCCTTTTTACCTCCTTCCTCTCCCAAATCTGCCCCAAAATCTGTTCCATTTCCTCCCAACTTACCCATATTTCCTCTAAATTATATTAATAATTGTCCTAGTCCAAATATTTAATTTTAGCCAGGGGTTTTGGGGTTTTGGGGTTTTGGGGTTTTGGGT